GTATGGAGCGTTGTGGTCAGCCTACGAAGCCTTCGTGGTCAGTTTTCCTAGCCCCTGCTAGCAAGTTAAGGAAGTGCTGGTTCTTAACAAGCAAAAGCACAAAGAGATGACTGTGGAATAACTCTAGCTGGAGCTAATTCATGGCTTACAAAAGCCTCTAATCGTTTGTTCATGAATTGATTCAGAGGGCCTTCATTGGGAAAGGGAGAAAGAAGCCACGGCCCCTGAAACAAGGAGAGAAGACAATGCAGTCTTGGGGAGGAGACGGTGAGGAAGGGTTTTGTTTGCTATAAGATGCCGCAGAGAGGAAGTCAGACAGGCTCCCCAGGTTCTGCTCGTCTTCTCCATAACAATAAAAAATATTCCTGGAATCCTGGCTGCTCAGAGATGTCCGTAAGGGAAGTTCGAAAAAGTTAAGATGGTGGCTGCCGTGGTGCATTGCACCTAAAAAATAGGGGAGCTTCGATGGTACCATTGTGGCCGCCATCTTGACTTCTTTGACAATATCCTGCGGGTGTCCCTGCTGCTGCTTCTCCTTCTGGGCTCTGCCTACCTTGAAGGGCTGGCACTCTCAGGGGTACACAGCAGAGCCGGTTCGCCGCATTCGGAAGAGGAGGACGGTCCTGAAATTCAATTAGCATGCCACTTCTGGTTGGGCCCCCAAAAGTGTCTGTGCCAAGGCCACGAGAGCTAAAATACACAGCTGACATGGCCCCAGCCCTGGTTCCCTGAAAAACAGCCTCCTTTGGCACTCATCTACCCGCCCCATCTGATCTGAGAGGTGAATTTTCCGCCGGTCCTCGGCTCTTCCCATCGCTGCCCATGTTCTCCGGAGCTCTTGCCAGGGAAACGTTGGGCGGCTTCGTCCCTCCTGAGCTGCAGGAAACTTGGCAATGCTTTCCTCTTCCAGCTGGCCCTGCAGTAGGATGCTCCGTAGCCTGCGGGTGGGGTCTGTGGCACCCCCGGTTTATTTATTTTGGGCTTGTATGCATCGGGGGTTTAAGCCATTTATTGCGAGCTGTATGAGTCTCCAGGAGTGGGCAGCGTCTAGTAAATAAGTTGGTCAGGAAATAAACAAATAAATAAATATATCCTATCTCTTTCTAACATTTCTAAAAAGATGTTCAGCTTATCTTACCTCCTACTTCTGCTTTCGTGCAGACATTTTGTTATCTACACTTTCCCTTCTGGACACTTCATCCAGCTTTCATTTAACAGAAGCCACGTTAATTTAACACGGCCTTCTTTTTCCCTTTCGCACGGTGTCTGGCACGGTGTTTGGGCTCTTCCTAAAATCACAGGTTTCTTTGTTTTCCCTGGTATGCTGCAGACGTGCTTTGGGTAAATCCAGGCTTTCCTAGACATTTGCTCCTAAAGATGTCTGGGAGAAGGCCTGCAGACAAACAGGCAGAGACGTTCAAAACAACCTGTTTTTTTATTTCTGCAAAGGGACAGGCTGCTTGGTTACTGGAACTGGCCAGAACTAGCCCCGCTGGCTTTTTAAGCAGCGAGTCCAGAATCAGAAGTGGATTCTGGAACATAGATAGAATCCAGATGAAAGATTTAGTTGCATCAAAACAGTCCCAGAGTAGAACCAAAAGATTTGATCCTCTGCCCTGCTAAGCTTCATCCCGTTAGATAAATGAAAGAGCACAGTGGAATTGTTTAGTAAACAGCCCCTGGCTGCCACTTTGCAGAATCAGTATGCTTTTAAAAAGCAGATGTTTCTTGCCCTTTTAAGGAATACTTCTGCAGGACCTGAGGTTTTAAGCCTACGTTCATGATGCTCACAATGGATGGATCTTCCTTCCTTCCTTCCTTCCTTCCTTCCTTCCTTCCTTCCTTCCTTCCTTCCTTCCTTCCTTCCTTCCTTCCTTCCTTCCTTCCTTCCTTCCTTCCTTCCTTCCTTCCTTCCTTCCTTCCTTCCTTCCTTCCTTCCTTCCTTCCTTCCTTCCTTCCTTCCTTCCTTCCTTCCTTCCTTCCTTCCTTCCTTCCTTCCTTCCTTCCTTCCTTCCTTCCTTCCTTCCTTCCTTCCTCCTTCTCCTTCCTTCCTTCTTCTTCCTCCCTCCTTCTTTCTTCCTTCCTCCCTCCCTCCTCCCTTCTCCTTCCTCCCTCCTTCTTTCTCCTTCCTTCCTCTTTCTCCTTCCTTCCTCCCTCCCTCCTCCCCTTCTCCTTCTCCTTCCTTCTTCTTTCTCCTTCCTTCCTCCCTTCTTCTTTCTCCTTCCTTCCTTCTTCTTCCTCCCTCCTTCTTTCTTCCTTCCTTCCTCCCTCCTTTCTTCCTCCCTCCCTCCTCCCTTCTCCTTCCTCCCTCCTTCTTTCTCCTTCCTTCCTTCCTCCCTTCTTCTTTCTCCTTCCTTCCTTCCTCCCTCCCTCCTCCCT